TGGAAAGAAATTTACTTTACTGCATTTAAATGGCTTTCCTTTCAGGACACTAGACCCCAAGCCCAGCTCAGCCGCTTGCCTTCTTTTGTTTTGATTTTTTTTTTTGTGTTATATTTCTTTTGCTCAACTCTTCGGCGATACCTTCATCAATCATTTCTCGCGAAAGCAAACACTGTCAGGTCCTGGGTCCTGGGTCCCGGATCCTGGATTCTATATCCTTGCTCCCAATTCCCGTTTCCTTTTGCCTCGGGTCTCGGGTCGCGCCTGCAGTGGATTAGGCAACGGCAACGACAACGACATCGGCGACAGTCGACGTCATCCTATCCCTTCCGGGTTAACAAATGAATTTCGCGCGTTTGCCCCCAGCGACTTGAAAAGATTTTCAGCGGACCGAAACTCAAGCGGATTGAACGGGAATGATAAAAAAAATATATACAGCATAAAAAAAAACAGCAATACAAAATAAAAGGATGTGGTAATCAAGGATTCCGAATGTGAAGTACCCAGTGTACAAAAGCATAGCATACTTTTCAGGGTCTAAAAGACAATGCCTAATAAATGTGAATTATAACTACTTGCAAAACGTTTTAAAATTTATTATTTTAGAATATAAAAGAAAAAACTTTTAACTTTAAGTAAGAGTAAAATATTTCCAAGAAAACTTGATAGGTACTTATATAAAATAACTTATAAAAGGACTTTTGAAACACACTATTTTTAAAACTCAAGTCAAACGCTGATAAATCCTCATCAAAAATCACTTCATACTGATCGCAATTTTCCAATAAAACCCATTTAACCTTTTCAATCAACAAATACAGGGTATTAAAAGGGGGAGAAAATGTTGTGAAGAACTGCGGGTAAAGGGATAACCAATGACTTTTACCCCACGTGTGGCTGCTCCGCCCCGTACTCAAGTTCATTTCAGTCGACGAACTGTGAAAAGGCAGCCAAGCACGAAAATAATAACAAATTCCTGCACAAAGCAATGTGAACTGAAGTAAAGTGAAATGTTTTTTTATGTAATGAGCGTAATAATCAGAGAAACATGCGAAAGGATCTACCACGATTTCGTTGATTGATTCTAGCGCACAGGACTTGAAACCTTATTAAATCTGAACGAACACCCAGCGCCTCCCTCCCTCTGAGAAAGGTTTTCCTTTCCTATCACTTATTTCGCTTAACTCGCTGCAAATCAAAGAAAATAAAGGAAGAAAAATAAAGAAAAGTTAACCAAGACAATGAAAAGGGGGTAACTCTGTCAGGATTCTAAACAATGATGGATGAGGGAAAGTACACAGATTATGTTTTCATACCATTTACCATTTATGTACTTGAATTTTAGTTGGCCTTTTTTGTAAGCCATAAAAATCTAGTAAAAGGAATTAAATTGTACCCAAAAACTTTAAGAATTCCCATCATCCTGAAAGAAACTTATTTATGAAAAGGTTAATCATCCCCTTTCTTCCTTCGGGGCACTCGTGTGCTGCTGTGCCACCGATAAATAAGAATAATGTTTGGAATTCAGCTAGGAAGCCTCCATAATGACCATGAAAGCACAGTTTATGGTTCAATAAAGGCGCCATTTTGCTAGCTACAGTGCCAGACGTTCGTATAACGCTATGCCAGAGGCCGGAGATCGGGATCCACATAGAACACACACAACACACACACACCACAGCGGGCGGCCCCTTTGCTCGGTTATGCAAAGTAATGCAAAATTGCAGCGGCGGCCAGCGTCAGTAGCGATTCAAATGCAAGTGGGTACACTTATGCACGTCACAGGCACAGTGGGTACTATAACTAAAGGATTTAATAGAAAATATTATAAATAAAACGAGGGTTTTTACTGATTAAAAACTAATGAGAACAAGAAAGGAAGGTAAGGAAGGTTACCCTATATTTTATTTTTGAGACGTTATGATGAAGTTTAGAGACTGATATTTCCTAGGAAGTAAATTTAATTAAAATTATAATGGATGATTTTCAATTAATTCTATACAAAATTTAAATGTAAACTTCGAAAATTAAAAACTTAAACTTCTGCAAATTTTCCTATATTTTTGTCCTTTGAACTCTCTTTGACCCACTGTCCTCGCTGTTTGCTTGGCTAAAAAGCACGGGTATGTGTATTTTTTTTATTGGCCCAGCTTGATAACGCATATTTTTGGCTTATTTTGCAGCTTACTGCTGTGGCAGCAGCTTTGCCCAACTGGATGTGTGTGAGGTCCCTTTGCTGGCACACCCCGTAAATGGAAATAAGGTTTAACTTTGACCCAGTTCTCAAACAAATATTGTTAATAAAAAAATATTTTCATTAACTAATATAGTGCCATAAAAAATTTAATTAAGCCAGAGCCATAAAGAAATCCAAGTTAATATTTAAAAAATGTAAAGATATCAAAATAAGTCTTTAATAGTCTAAAGAATAATATTGCTATATTATGATTCGTTTGTTATCAATGTATTTATTAAGACGCCCTTTTATTTATTATTATATATTTTCTTTTTGGGTATTTAATATTCGAGTTCACCCTTTGATTGACTCTTTGCCCAATCATTTTTTGTCGCTGCGGTTGCCCTGGCCTGCCCCGTCGTCTCTCGTCTGCCGATAATCACGCTATTGCCCCATCAGCCGGAAATGGGCGCGCCGCCATCTTGTGTCTGCGTTTCGGGCCATGCGAGTGCAAGTGTGTGTGTGTGTGTAGTGTGAGTGTGAGCCCGTCGAAATATGCGTGCAAGTGGCATAAAGTGGCAGCCAGGCGGCGGCCATCTTTTGGGTCTCTGCGGTGCGGACGCGGGGCTGCCAATCTGCTGCCAAGTGCACAGCGTATATTGGATTTGCCAATCATAAACTGAAGCCAACTGCATAATCTATGCACCAATGCAGTCACACACACACAGAGAGAGAGAGAGAGAGAGTGGAGGGTTGGATGAAAATTGGATTGAATAATTTTCAAAAATTTGCTGGAGCTAACAAGCAGCGATGGAGAAGTATTTCCATTGGCAGCATAACTTTGCTGAGGTTGTATATTGTCTATATGCTGTGATAGGATATACTTATTGATCTTGATAGCCTAAAGAATCGTTAAACCTATTTTAAAATTATATAAACCTTACACACATTTTTCAAGCATTAAAAATACTAACAGAAAAGATGTACATTTCTTAAAACAAAACCTTTAAAAATTTAAATTAATGTTCCCATATTTAATCGAATATTTAAATACAAACATTTCCTGCTGCAAAATGCTCATTCTTGCCTATCTCCGGTCGCATTGTCTGCCATTTTTCTGTCACTATTTTCGCTTTCGATATGACAGTGCCTCCAAATAATAACAATAACTATTCCCCTTCTATATCTGCTTAACAGCCAATGCAGTTAAAAAACAAAAGCAAATGTTTTTGCCAATTGCCACGGCCATTGTCATGACTGTTATTATTTTCGTTGCTGCTCCGTTATTATTTAATTCTCTTACAGAGAGTAGTTTAATTAGAATAATAGATTTGGTTTATTTTATCTAAAATTTCAAGGTTATTAAAATTAAATTTTTAAGCCAAAGAATATTTAAGCCGCTTTAATACTTCATTTCAAATTACAATAATTTACGTACCTTCTTTTTACTGAAGAAAAAGGGTATCTCAGAGTACAGTTTAAGTCAAAGTTGAATTTTCTCTTCATAGGAACGCTTGTTAGTTGTGGGTTTTTTCTTTTTTGCCGAGAACATTGCCAAAAACAATTCCCACTGAATTTTTACAGCCGAAATAATTTTTAATTTACATAAATGCCGGTCGCTATTCACCATGTAAATGTGTGCTGTCTGTGGGGTTTGCTCTTTGGCGTTTTATTTTTTTGCCAGCTGCATTCGAGTCCTCCGGAAGTCAGTTGGAAGCGTCTCCGGCTCGATCCTTCCGCCTCTCGATGCCGGAATGCGGGTGAAACACTGAGGGAAACAAAGAGGTTTTATTAAGGCTTTACATATTATTTTTTAAAATACTTTAAAATTATTTTAATACCAGATAAATAGATAAATTGCAAGAGCATGCATTTCAATTTAAAATCAGAGACTTTTCTCATAAGGCTTGAAGAGATGTAGAATTTTAAAAATATTTCTAAATACAAGATTGTTGAATTAGCAGTTTTGTAATGGAATTTATGGGGGTACTAAGAAGAAATTTATAAGGGTTTTTTATAAAGAAAGTAGAATATTACTTAAATAGTTCCTAATAATATCTTCTAGAATTTTTCTACTGTGCACGAAAACTCCTTTCCAGTTGGCAACTGCACACTTGCCAAGCATAATTCTTGCTCATAATCGTGTGGCGGCGACACACACAGCAGTTCGAATGGAAAAAAGTTCAAGTTTTCGATGTGTTTATGAGGGAGTTGCCACATCCAGATGCAGGCAGAAGTTTTTCTTGGTTGGGTCGCATTTGCTGGACATTTATCGATTTAATGCTGCCTGAACGTCGTTGTCCTCATCTCTGGATAATCTTTGCTGCTTCGCACCAAAATTATCTTCATCGCTCATACGCCGCGTGGCCAGGAAAATGCATGAAAATTGTCACTTATATTCGTGGTAATTGTTGTTGCTATCCTGCCGGACAGCCGGACTGCCAGGCTGCCTGCTAGCCTGCCTGTTGTCTGAAATGATAAATGACCGTCCAGAACTTCTACATAAATGTATATCTATTAGCATTTATCTTGGTCTCGGACCCGGACAAGTTTCGCCTCGACTCAAGAATTAATCATGTGGCAATTATGCTGTGGCAACAGTTCTTGCTCGGCACACACAATATACTACAATACATATATATAAATGTATCTTTAGCCATTTCCTTTGAGGGCCATCTCTCTGGAATTAAGGCATGGCCTCCCTCTCCCTCCCAGTGTCTGTGGCAACTAAATCATTGCATCTGTATCGGCCAAACACGAAATTATGTCGTGTCTAGCAAAATAGAATAAACAAAAGCTAAAACCAAGATGGCATTGCCTTTAATGTTTAGTTTACCTTATTCCGTTTAGCTCAAAAACACTTGTCACGATTCCTTTGAAGTAGAAAATTTGGATGTTTTATTTGGGAAATCCCTAAAAAGTACACCAAAGATGTCTAGCATTAAGAATGGTCAATATTATGTGCTCATTTCGTCGAGTAACAAGTCACGGAAGTTGCTGCGAGTATTTCCAACCTTGACAACAAGTCGCATTCTAACCGCTGGTGGGTATAATCTTTGAGTTACTTTCTTTATATATTATAATTAAATCAAATTTCAGCGGAAGAGTTTGGAATCTTTGGCAGATACTTGGTCAGTGCCGAGGAAAATGTTATTATAGCCGATGCCCTGGCCCTGCATCATTACATTCAGCAGGGTCATACGATTATGGTGGTCGATACCCTGGATGATCATATCGTGAAGTACATTAAGCTGGAGGAAATCGGGGAAAGTGAGACCGATGATGAGGTGACATCTTCTCAGGCGGCCACGGACCAGCAATTGCTTCAGTTAAAGCTCATCTCATCGCAGCTGGGTGATGTCAAGTGCTCCCTCAACGAGTTCATCCATCACTTTGGCCCCTCAACTAGGGATAAGATGAAGTCATTCCAATCATCCATCTAAATTCCATATAATTTGTTTCGAAAATGAAATATATTTTTAAATCATTTGAATAATTTAAAACACAGAAGCGGGAACCTAAGAAGGTAGGTGGTCATCATCGGTGACTATAGAAGCCTCGTCTGCCTCCATCAACTGAAACGGTCTATGCAAATACTTCCTGCAAATGCGGTCGGATTCATTTTCATTCTCAGAGTCAGAGGACCCTGGACCCTGATCCGGCTCCATGTGAACATTCAGCTTCACTGCGTCCACTTTCATGCTGCCCAGGCAATCGTAACCAACATGGGCTAACTTGTAGCTGGCCACGGCATTGGCAAAGTCCACGGCATGGGCCAGTTGCCTTCCACGCACAAAATTGGCATAAATGAAGCCGGCTGTAAAGCAATCACTATCCCCCACCCGATCGACAATCTTCTTGGGCTTATGGGCGGGCAACTCAAAGTAGTTGCCATCACGGGTCATGCAACCGGCTCCCAGGCTACTCCAGGGTACGATGAAGCACGGTCGTCGGATATTGATGCTCCGCGGCATCCGTAGGATCGAGTTTAGACCATCACAGGACTCCCGCGGCGATGTCCAACCCTTCAGCTCTGCAACATATTTGGTGAGAATCACATAATCTGGCATTCCAATGAGATCCACAATCGTATCGAAGGCATTATAGATCTGCAATGAGACCACTATTCTGTCCGTTTCATCGAGTTCATTGTTGTGATCGAGGACCAAACGAATCATATCGCAGGTTTCGACTGGACTGCGTCCCTCAAAGTGCACCCAACCATATTGGTTGAGATCCAGCTTCTTAAAGTCCTCGGCTGTTACATAGGGAAAGGGTTTGTCACAGTAGACCGTAGTGCAGCGCCGTGTAAATCGCTCTTGGACAATTATGGAGAAGGGCGGACTCTCGTCCGTAAAGGTGCAGTGGCTTATATCGATGCCCCTTTTCTCGAGATCATCCAGGATTATGCTGTACATGGGATTGCTGGAGAGGACGCCAAAGAGCTCCGCTCTGGCACCAAGAAGACGCAGCACTGTGCTCACATTCGAGGAACGTCCACCCCGCACCATATAGCCATCCTGGGTGCGAGAACGATCCCTCTGGAAGTCCACCTTCTCCACAGTGGTCACATAATCCACTTCCGTGCAGCCCACACACAGTATGGACTTCAACACACTGACGGCAGACCATTTGGACATCTTGTTTCTGAACTTATCTTAACCGTATACTTAATTTTATGTTGAAAGTTTTAAATGCTTGTCATAATTTTGTATCAATTTCCAAACAAATTCTGACACTCAGAGACATTCGAGCTTTTAAGAAATAAATTTTAAAAATTAAAGCAAAATTAAAGCGAGTATGAGCGAGATTGATTATGGCAACAAACTGAGCTGGGCCGTTGGCAAGAAGAGGGTTCTTTGCATGGGCGTCAGCAACATTGACTGTGTCTCCGTTGTTAACAACTTTCCGGAGGAGAATGTCCATGAGAAGGCCATTTCTGGGTCTTGGCACCGTGGCGGCAGTGCCTCCAACAACTGTACAGTCCTCCGGAATCTCGGTGTCAATGTGGAGTTCTTTGGCATGCTGAGCAGCCAGCCTATATTTCAATTGCTCATCGAAGACATGACAAACCGAGGTATTATTGTGGAAAACTGTCCGATGTGTGATCTGGATCCGCCTTTCGCCAATGGGATCATGGCCAAATCGATGAATACACGAACCCTGATCATTTGCAATCGTGGTTTTCCCTATGTCAGCATTGAGGATTTCCGGAAACTGAATCTCAACAATTATGGTTGGATTCATATGAGGGCTTTGTTCTTTGACACCAACATTGAAGTGCTCAAGGACATAGCTGCCTTTAATGCCACCAAGGAGGAGGCGGATGACAAGATCCTGGTTTCCGTGGAGTTCGATCACAGTCTAGAGATATTGTTCCCAATGTTGGATTACTGTGATTATGCCTTTTTCTCTAAACAGTTGGCCATGGAGACTGGCTGGACGTCCATGGAGAATGCCTGCAGTCAGCTGGATGAGCGTTTGCAAATGCGTTGGGGTTTGAATCTGAAGCGTCCGTATGTGATCATAATGTGGGGTGATCAGGGCTCCGCGTTTATGGATCTCAATGGGAAGTATACACACTCGCCGCCCTACAAGCCCAAGCAGATTGTGGATCTACTGGGAACAGGTGATACCTTTGTGGGTGCCTTCATCTATGCCAAGTACATAAGGGACCGTTCTTTGAAAGTATCCGTTGATTTTGCAAATCGCATTGCCAGCTATAAGATTACCAAGAATGGCTATGATCATATCGCAAATATCCTCTTGCCACCAATTTTGTAATTAAAATTTTATGTGACGCAACCGTAAAGCCTTACGAAAAGCTTTCGAATTTATTACGTATACGCACCGGGTTGGTCAAGGATAATAATAATAATTACCCCAGCAGATAGATTTACCAAGGAAAACCGGCAATAAATTATGGTATAAAAAGAGTAAATATATATAAAATGTATCCCTATGTGTGCCTCTGACTTTGTCCTTTTCGATTGTCATTGCCAAATTGATTGCAAAACGCTGAGGCCGCTGAAAAGGGTTTTTAAATGTATTTCATTTATTTCTCGTACCTTTTGGTACGTCGGTTGTCCCTGACAATTTGAAATATAGCCAGATTATTTAAATAAATGACCTGGCCACTACCAAAGTGTGTCAAGCAAAGTCCTGGGGCAGCATCAGCAGCAGGAGCAGGAGCAGCAGGTGACTTTGCCATCCGATAAATTAGATCTCTGGCAAAACCAATAGCAGATTATTCGCTTGTGTTCGCAGGCACAGATTATGCAAATGCCTTTCGAAAGCAATTTCATAATTAAAATGAACAGTGAAAAATAAAAGAAATAAGATAAAAAGCAGCAAAATATATCCTGTGCACCGAGGCGAATTTGAATCAATAAGAGGGAGAGCCTTGATTTTTGAAATTTGGTTATCAGTCAGCTTAGCTTGGAATCCAGAAATGCTGCCCAAAAATAATTCATAAATATTCAAATGAAAATCCTCGCACCACTCCCAAATCGAATTGTGTATAAAATGTATACATAAAATGCTGGCCAAGTGGTCAAAACAGGGCAACCGGCCGGCGTCAACTTCACTTTTGCCGCTTGATTGAAACTCATTTATCATCATAAATTAGAAGCAGGCGGGGCAGCAGGATGAGGTTGGGGGCTACATAGATGGTAGAAGAAATTCATCATACTCGGGTCTGTAATCTGGCTCAGATTGAAAATTAATGAGGTCATCAGGTTCTGCATAGCCAAATAGCAACGCCAAGTAATTTAAAGTACGCGTCTTTTTTGCTATACCCTTACAGGGTATTATGTTTTCAGGTAGAAGCTTGAAACGAATTAACTTAGTTATGACTTTTTTAAACATTGATATTTTTACAAAATTTTCATAAAAAAACATCTTTAAATATCGGTTCAAAGAATGCGAATAATCGAATATGAGATTTCCGATTCAATCCTATAATTCTTTTGCAAACTGCAAGGGTATACGAGCTACGGCTTTCCGAAGTTAGCTTTTTCTTTCTAGTTTCGTTTTTCTTTCTGCCAAAAAAATGTTCCCTGTTTTACTGTCACTTTTCCGCCTTTTTTATAGCTATTTATAAAATTACTTTGCACGAAGAGTGAGCAGGGAAAGCAGGAGCAGGAGGGCTTACAATTATCCACCCCGAAGTCAAGGCTCAGCCTCTTAGTCATTTTCCTCCCCTTGCTGCTAAAAAGTTGTTCCATAGCCTGTTATCTTGACACACACAGTTATTTTAAATATAATTAAATTTAATTTTAGAGGCCTTAGAAAAGTTATTAAATATACTGCTAACACTGTACAACAAATTATTTAAGAAGCTAAGACAATATATTGATAATATTTCATAGAAAGTATCAACTTCCTGTTCCAAGTACGTGCCTTTCCTCTGGCATTTTCCAGGATTAATGTATTCATAAGGCACTGATTGTATTGGAGCCATCAGACCATCGGCCATCTTCAAGGCCCGTTTGTGCAGCTTCCGGTTTATTGGGCAATTACGCAAGCAGCCCTCTGATTATGCTGCATCCCCGCCATTGTTTTGACATTTAATCAAAACAAGCCACACAAAGCCAAAGGACTTCGCGCGTTTTTCTCTTCACATCCTGGCCATGGCCATCGTCCTGGTGCTTTGATAAGCTCGACTGGACACTTTGGTAATTGAGTGACTTTAACCAAATGGTTCAATGTCCGCTTAATGCAGCGTTCAGTAACCAAGGGTAGATCAAAGTCTTCTAAAGAGGATATATATGTGTATACAGGAAGTCTCCTCTCCCCCGGAATTCATTTTAGTTAAAATACAAGAAAAAATAGTTTTATGTATGATTAATATCTATAGATAAATGAGGATAAGGTATTACATTTTCGGTACTAAACTTGTTTCTCCACAAAATGCTTTCATTTCCTCTTGAATTTATATTTCTGCTAAACCAAAGAGACAAGACAGCAATAAGAAAATAAGAAAATACACAACAACTGCTTTGCTGGCCACATCCTTCGATTATGTCAAACAAAAAGGCAGCAATTTGGATTTAAAGAGCGACCTTGGGGGTGTGGGACTGGGAATATGGTTATATATATGGCTTTTGTATAGTCGGTACTTCAATTTACTTGCCACATTTCCGCCAAAGTCTTGTCCAACTTTTCTCATTTCGGTGGCCATTCCTTGTCGTTGTTGTTGATGTTGTCCTCCATTTCTATTTCAATTGCTACATCAAAAAAAAATGTATATAAGAAACTGACTTCCGCTTCCGTTGGCGCAGCTTGAAACTTGCAGCCGAAAACTTGAGCTTGATTTTGTGATTTGCGACAAGTTTCTTGACTGTCGATTGTTGATACTTGCATAAAATATATATAACTTATTGTATATATGCGAATTATGAAAGTTATTGGGGAGTTGAGCAACTCAAAAGCAAAGCTTGGAAATAATTAAAAATATATGTATGCAGATATTGATCTTTTAAGGCAAAATACATCCTTTAAGACATTATCCCTTATCTTCTCTAAAAATCCTTTATAAAACTTTATTTTCCATTGAAAAACAAACTTTTGTTTACGATTGAATGTCTTTCATTCGGGTTTTCCATGAAACTAACCATAGTCTGGGATCTTTTTACAAAACTTATACTAAAACTTAAACTTCAACTTAAGCGAATCAAAAGTTCTTTGGGCGGTCAGAAAGTCAACAAGATATCAAGTCCTAATTTGCATACGTTAACCAAGGGAAACTCAGTCTCTGCTAACCATTCCTGCTCCTTTGCCCCTATTGACTCACCACTGACTGATTCATTTGCTTGTGTGGTGGCATTGGGCAAACGCTGCGTATACGTAATTAATGCCCCCAGGCCTTGATGAACATGAGTCCTTAAACTTCCTGCCCCAAACCCTTTCCACATTCCTTACTTTCTGACTTTTGCCTCTCTGCTCGATTAGAGGCAGGACTCAAAAAGGACTCGTATAGCCCGGAATTTGGTTAAAGTTTGTAACTAAATTGAAATTTCACTGGTTTTTGGGGTTATTTGATTAGTGAAAATGTAATTTGTTTCCCAGGAACTTGTATGCGATTTTAGCTGGAAAAAGATTCGATTGTCTATTCAAAGCTTTACCCCATAAAATCATACAACATTTTCCCAAGAAACCTTTTATGAATTTGCATTAAAATGATACCTGGTATAGGTATCAGAAAAAATGCGCTGTCAGTGCAACTGAGGGAAATTGGCCTTATTGGATTATCCTTAATAGGACCTCTGACAACCCTCATTTCACTGTGTCCTCGGTCCGATACACATTCGAAAGATAATGATGACCCGGGTTACGGTTACCTGGGATGTTATTGCAGACAATTGCATGCTATTGACATTTCAATTGTCTCTCATTATTGCCCTGACCGAGGACATAGGGACATGGGGCACAGGACTGGCAGTGAGCACCCGGGACGACCCTCATTTAAATTACAAAAAAAAGAAAGAAAAGCAACAATGGGAAAGCAGTATACACGCATGCAATGAAAGCAACAAAAAATGTGCATAATAATAGCAATTGCACACGCTTCAGGTATTAAAGACAACGCCCAACTTATCCGATTTGCCACAAGTAAAGCTACAAAGAATGGGTGTGGAAATAAAAATCAACGAAAAAATGGAAAAATGTAAAAGCAAAATGTAAAGAATCCAATTTTCACTTAATTTTCTACAACGCTAGAGTATCTTTCTTGGAATTTTCCCTAAGGTCGGTCACAGCACAGCATCAGTACCCACCGGAGGGCCATGACAACCGTTTTCACTCCTGGTCCTCGCTTTTCTTTTTTATTTCGTTTCACAAAAATACAAAATACAACAAAACAAAATAGTCGAAAGCGCTTCAAGCAATTTCATTTCGTTTGTTATTTTGTTTCAAAGTATCAATTTGTGTATCATTAAAATAATTTGATTTCCACTCGACAAGCAGGGAAGGCGACCCTCCGATACCCCTATATGCAGGATACGTTAAGTAAGGGTTTTCCCCTCTCTGACTCAGACTCTGACTCAGACCTAATTGTGTCCGCCCTCGGGCTTCCTTAGGTTTTAGGAGATTCCTGCTTTCCGGTTACTCAGGACGACATGACCTGGAGCCCTAATTAGGCCCCGGTTCCAGGGCCAAACAAAAAAGGGGAATCTAATATGGCAACTTGAGTGAGTGGCATCAAGCACATATTATATTCAGCCCACACTCAGGGAGAGGTCTTCTTAAGCTCATTATGTTTGTATTTTGCATTTTAAAATGTAAATAAGATGGGTGAAATTGTAATACAATAAAAGTAAAGGATCTTTGAGGGTGTTTTACACAAGTTCTATGATTTTTTAAAAGTTTGAAGGTGATTTAAAGAACTTTTGGTAGGGATAATTAAAGTATATATTCAATATTTTCATAGAAAAAATCAAATTTCCCACTAATTTAAGTACAAATCCAAACATAAACTCAAATAACACGTTTTGCATTCTCCTAATTGATTGCTGACACACGCTAACCGAACAATCAGTTACAGTTTAGGCAAAAACCCAACAATTGCAATTGTGACGACGCATCCTTCGGCGAATAAGGATCACGAATCAACAAAGCAGCAGCAACAGCAGGAGCCTTGGGCAGGATGCGGAAATGCAACTGTGCCTGAGTCAGGGCCTGTGCCTAAGGCAGCTGTCGGGATGGCAGGATAGCAGGATAACAGGCTAGCGGGATATGGGATAGCGGAATGACAGGATGTTTACAGACGCTGCCTGGCAATGTGGCCGCAAATAACTTGTCAGCATTGAGGCATTCATT